ATGTGATAGTCTTCTGGGCAGGAATTTCTTATGTGGTGAGGTATCTCCGGGCTCTGTGATAATGCAAATTACCTTGAACAAAGGCAGGAGCAGAATCTCCGGTTCCAAGTGGTAAAACTTGCTTCCTCCTTGTAAGATGATGATTTCATTTTAAAAATTGTTTAAAATTTGATATCTTCCATGTGTCAGGTATCCAGGTATCCATGGATTGTGTGAGAGTGAATAATAAATCCCTAAATTGAGCCTAATCAGCATAAAATGAACTGTTCCAAACAGGAGATTAACCAGAAGGAAATAACTACATCCTGGTTGCCACCAAACAGCTTCAAGGTAAACAGTCTATTCTGACTTTTCTCTGAGTCTAATCCACATAAAATGAACTATTCCAAACAGGAGATTTTACCACACCTTCAACTCTCCTATGAAATATGAACTTTCGTTTCTACCTAGGAGAACTTCTACAATCTTTTCTCCGATGCCTGAAGGGTGCCTGTGCCCAAAAGCTTTCAAATAAAAAAAAATTGAAAACATCTAGTTGGTCTAATAAAAGATATCACTTCTACCATGAGTTCTTATCCCTCATGGTATTCCTCTTTACTTTTTCTTCACCATTTAGTGTTTTGTAAATTCTCATCATGTTCCCCTCGAGAATCTCTTCTCTAAACTGACTACACCTGGCCTCTTTAGTTTCTCCTCATATGGAAGCCCCTCCATACCACTAATCTCCCTTGTTGCTCTTCTCTGCACTATCTCTAGTTCTTCTATATCTATATCTGTAGGATGCACCATAGATTTATAAAGGGGCATAATGATTCAGTCAATTTAGTTTATAATTCCCTTAATAATCCCTAACAACCATCTCCATGGATATTGCTGAATATTACAGAGCTGGGAATGATTCTTGTTGCTCTCTGTTCCACTGTACTAGTGAAGTATTAGGGTGACAGAGAGCCAGCCAGGCTGCAAAGTATGAGGCTTGAGAAGTAGCTGCAGAAGCTGCAAGGCTTGCCTCATGGAAGGAAAACAAATTCTCTGTGTCCTTTGAGCAAAGTTTTTCTTAGTCATCACTTACTGGGATTACCATAAGGGCAAGAAAGTGGTCAGAAGAAAGACAAATAATGAGGCACACTGAATCTCAGTAGTAGGAAAAGTAGTTGAAGCTGGGAGTGAAATATGAATGCTTCAGTAAATGTCCCAAAGCACATTTAACGGAATTACTGTATTTACTTGGGAGAAAAGGCCCCTTGTCTTATAATTGCATACGAGGAAATCTCACTAAATACACTATCATTAAACTGCTGCCAAAAGCAGCATGTGTTCAGCAATAGAAGCTAACTACAAGGTTGATTAAATGCAGCCAACACTGAGCATGATTATAAAACACATGGCCCATACTGGGCAAACATGCTAAGGGAACCTTTTTTATGTGGTCCTTGAAAAAACTGGGAAGTTGCTCCCCAAGGAGGGAATGAGCACTGGGCCTGGAGGTACTACAATACTTGGCTGGCACTCAGAGAGACTGGAGCAAGCCCAGACACCCTCCCCGATGCCAAAAATGCTGATGGGAACCTACCACAATTTTTTTTAAATTTCATTTTCAAGAGCCAAATCAGTTCCAAATTCTGTTGGGCAAAGCCCAATAGTCAAGTTCCAAACCTGGACTAAGAAGAGCTCAATCATTTAAGTCTTTGTGGCTCTACCACTGAGCAAGGGCAAGCAGAGCCCAGGCCCAGGGGGCCCTGACAAGCAAGGGCCTCAGGGTGCCTGGGTTTCCACGGGAAATGGTGGATTTCCCCTTGCAGGTAGACAGTGTTCTTGCCTTCAAGGGGCTGTTGGGAGTGAGAAGCAGGGGGCGCTGTGCCTGTGCACAGCTGTATGTATGCACATGGCCTGGAACACAGCTGGGCAATGTGGAGAGCAGCTCCCTGTAGGTAAGTGTATGGGAGGAAGGGTTGGGGGGGCAGATCGAGACCCCCAGGGTGAGAAAGGAAGTTCCCTGTAGGTAAGTGTATGGGGCGCAGTGGTTGGGTGTGGGACCCAGAGCCAGGATGGGAAGTGAGACAGAGCCATGGGTGGCTTGTCTAGGGTGTGTGGGGGGAAGGGAGGCTGGGCGGCTCCCCACCACTGCACACCCCCCGCAGAAGGAGGCATGGTGGGGGCATATGCCCTCTTGGCTTTATGCCCAGGGCAGAGGTGGGCTGCCTATGGCAGGTTTGGGGCTCTCCACTCTGCTGCCTTTGCCTTGGGGACTCTGCAGTGGCTGCATGTTTCCTGCCTGCCTGGCAGCAGGCCTACTGGGAAGGTGTGAAATATTAAAGGAAGAGGTGGAAAGGATGGAGAATTAATCTGTCTTTTATTCAAAAAGTGAATGAGAATAATAATAGTGAAGGTTACTCAAGATTAAGAGAGGCCATTTGAAGGAGTAAGTGGAGGGAATAGAAGATCTCAGAATTGGTATTATGGTACTACTATGATGTAACTAGCTGCTGTATTTGATTGTAGTAGAGAGGCTGAAAGATGCCAGCTGAAGAAAAGGAGCAAGAATTGAGCTATGGATGGGCTAGACATTTATCAATTTAACGTAACTGTTTAACAGCATGACAGAGAAACTGCTCTGGTCAATGGCAAGCTCAGCAGCTATTAGTCTGGGTGGGATAACCTAATGCAGGGGTGCTGAAACCCTGGCCCAGCCTCCAGGGCTTCCCACAGGCCCCAAAATTTCCAGACCAGTGGGGAGCCCTGCAGATTGAACAGCATGG